TAACTGGCAATGTCCCATGCCCCTCACTGCTGAATAGCCAGGGGCCTTTAAGGCCTCTAGTCCTCTTATTTACCTTTCTATGTGTGTGTCTGTGTATGTACATACACGGGCAAGTTAGTTTTTCAAGAGCCAGCCATCCCATGGAAAATCTGGAAGGGGAAAAAATTCCATAAACCTGAAAAACCAGGCTTCTACCTGGATGTGAATAAAATGAACAGTAAAAAAAGGCAACAAGAGTGTGCACTGTGGGCCAGGCACAGTGGCTCATGCCTGTAATCCCAACACTTTGGGAGGCCAAGGCAGGCGGATCACCTGAGGCCAGGAGTTTGAGACTAGCCTAGCCAACATGGCGAAACCCCATCTCTATTAAAAATACAAACATTAGTTGGGCGTGGTGGTACATGCCTGTAATCCCAGCTACTCGGGAGGCTGAGGCACAAAAACTGCTTGAACCCAGAGGCAAAGGTTGCAGTGAGACTACACCATTATACCCCAGCCTAGGTGACAGAGCGAGACTGTCTCAAAAAAAAAAAGAAAAAAAGAAAAAAAAACAGTGTGCACTGTGTGGGGTGCAGTCTAGCCCAGTGGTGCGAGCAAGACAGTCTGAATTCAGAGGAGGGTAAAGTTCTTTCTTATTTCTGGCCCAAACACTTGTTGGCGGCTAAGAGGACCCTAATGAAGTACGGTTCAACCCATGTGATAAACAGGAGGAAGGGAATTCGAGTAAGGGCCTGAGCAAGGGCAGTGACCAGATGTGGAAGAAGAGAAGCTGAAAGTTCTCATAGGAGAGGATTGGGGAATGAAGTTAGAGAGGCAGGCTGAAGTGAGCTGGGGACAGGCCATGAGCAGCCTGATGGGAAAGCAGAGATTGAAAGATCAACTTAGCCAGAGTGGGAGGAAGGGAGATGAAGAGAAGCCAAGTGACAGGCAGGGTGGCTACCAGCCAGACGTACACCTGCACTTGAGGATGAGGGTTACTGTGTAGATTTCTAGAAGGTAAGTTTCATGAAGACAGGGTTTTGTGGGGTTTTTTTGGAGACAGGGTCTCACTCTGTTGCCCTGACTAGAGTACAGTGGTGTGAGCTTGGCTCAATGTAACATCCACCTCCTGGGCTCAAGTAATCCTCCCACCTCAGTCTCCTAAGTAGCTAGGACTACAAGGCGCTCACCACCATGCCCAGCTAATTTTTGTATTTTCAGTAGAGATGGGGTTTCACCATGTTGGCCAGGCTGGTCTCAAACTCCTAGACTCAAGCGATCCACCTGCCTCAGCCTCCCAAAGGTTTGGGATTACAGGTGAGAACCACTGCTCCCAGCCAAGACACAGGTTTTTGTCACCACTGTACCCAGGGCTGGCACATGACAGGCACTCAATAATTATTTGTTCAATGAATGAATCAGGGATGAATGTCTAACAGCTCAGTCCAAGTGAGCTGGACTTGAGCTCAAGTAGAGCTGGTTAAGGGCAAGTGTTTGGGTCACAAAGAAGAAAGAACTTTAAACAGTAATACCTGAGGCCAGATCACTCACTGATAAAGAGGACAAGAGTCATCCATCATCAGTTTCCTCCAAAGTACAAGTTAAGAAGATGAAGGGCCAGCAGCATTTCCCCACTAAAAAAATTACGTAGGTCTGGCTGGGTGTGGTGGCTTATGCCTGTAATCCCAGCACTTTGGGAGGCTGAGGCAGGCAAATCACCTGAAGTCAGGAGTTCAAGACCAGCCTGACCAACATGGAGAAACCCCATCTCTACTAAAAATACACAATTAGCCGGGCATGGTGGTGCATGTCTGTAATCACAGCTACTTGAGAGGCTGAGGCAGGAGAATCACTTGAACCTGGGAGGCAAAGGTTGTGGTGAGCCGAGATGGTGCCATTGCACTCCAGCCTGGGCAACGAAAGCAAAACTCTGTCTCAAAAAAAAAACAAAAAAACAAGTTACGTGGGTCCAATATCCTAACCTAAAGTTAGCCACTGCAGTTCAAAACCATCCTGCTTTTTTAGCTTCTATTTCACATTATGCCTTAATGGAAGGCATGTCCCCTGGCCACCATGAAAGATGTGTCAAAAGCCCAGTCCTCTCAAACAACGAACCCCTTTACCTGTTTGGAAAACTCCTATTCATCCTTTAAAACCCATCTCTGGCAAGCCTTCTCTGATGGCCCCTCCTTAGGCTGGTATTTCTATACACTGCAAATACTTCTCTCTTTTTTTTTTTTTTTTTTTTTTTTTGAGACATAGTCTTGCTCTGTCGCCCAGGCTGGAGTGCAGTGGTGCCATCTTGGCTCACTGCAAGCTCCGCCTCCCGGGTTCTCCTGCCTCAGCCTCCCAAGTAGCTGGGACTACAGGCACCTGCCACTACGCCCAGCTAATATTTTGTAGTTTTAGTAGAGATGGGGTTTCATGTGTTAGCCAGGATGGTCTTGATCTCCTGACCTCGTGATCCGCTCACCTCAGCCTCCCAAAGTGCTGGGATTACAGGCATGAGCCACCGCGCCTGGTCTACAAATACTTCTACTCTTACATTACTGTCATCACTCTAATTTTTAAATTTCCTTTATGAATTCCTTGGGAAAAAAAAGCCTGTCTCTTATTTGTCTGCTTATCAGGGTTCAGCATAGTACTTAACCAGTTGATGTAAACAGAACCAATTTTCACCCTTCTATCCTACATTAAATTCTAACCCTCGGCTCCAATTCACTGGCAGAGGTTCCCACAGCTCAGAGCAAGGATAAAGAAGGACAAAGGTACCAGTGGCAGAAGGCAGAGAAGGGGCTCTGCAGTTGGGGAAGGGGGTGCAGGTTGGGAAGAGTCCCCAGGCTGCAGTGGTGTCTGCACAGTCTCCTCCAATGTCTATGGAAGGAATTGTTTCATATCTGATACCATCTCGGGCTAAAGGGCTAATGAGCAACTCCTCTCCTGGAGGCCCAGGTGCTTCGAGGGAAGTCACTGGTCACACAGTACCCTTTCCGCTCCGTGTGAGTGGTCAGAGTAGCAAAGGCTAAACTCAAACAAAAATACGTCCTAGGAGTTTGTGGACCAAGATCTTATCCACTGCATTCCCATATATTTATGGTCACCGTCTCTAAATTTCCTCTCAGCTGTCATTCAATCATTTGAGAAAGATTTTTCTCACTGCCAACTATGTAGAGGGTACACTGTTAGGCTCTGGGGAACACAGGGATACTTCTCAGGTAATGCACACTTGAACAGCGGGGTTAAAACACGGCATACATAACTGTCACCAAGGAAAGGATGAAAAGAGTTAAGGAATTAAGAGAAAAGAAAGATTAATCCAGGTAGGAAGATTAAGAAAGGCTCTGCAGAAAGGAGAGCTTAAGCTGGACCTTGAAAGTTGGATGGGAGACAAGAAAATGAATTCAGAGATTGAAGAAGGGCACCTTACCACCCCACAGGGCAAAATGAGACCACTTCTAGACAGGAGGAATTCCACGGCCAAAGGCACAGAAGAGGAAACAGTATGGTAAGGAAACAAGTGACTGAGAACAGAATCTAGGGTACCTCTATCAGATGCATACAGTACATGAAGCACACAGTGGGGACTCAATAAATGCTGAAAGAACTGGGATAACTCTGGAAGAACTCTAATGGAAAAATAAAGATACTGGCTCTATTCCAAGACTCCATCTCAAAAAAAAAAAAAAAAGGATACTGGCTCCATTCTTTAAAATAGAAAACAGGAGTTTTGGCCTGGCGCAGTGGCTCACGCCTATAATCCCAGCACTTTAGGAGGCCGAAGCCGGTAGATCACGAGGTCAGGAGACCATCCTGGCTAACACGATGAAACTCCGTCTCTACTAAAAATACAAAAAATTAGCCGGGCGTGCTGGCGGGTGCCTGCAGTCCCAGCTACTTGGGAGGCTGAGGCAGGAGAATGGTGTGAACCCAGGAGGTGGAGCTTGCAGTGAGCCGAGATGGCGCCACTGCACTCCAGCCTGGGTGACAGAGTGAGACTCTGTCTCAAAAAAAAAAAAAAAGAAAGAAAGAAAACAGGAGTTTTGTTGTGTCTTAGAAAAATTCATCCAATTGTATTTTTATGAAACAGCAGAAGAAGGCCTATAATCCCAGCACTTTGGGAGGCCGAGGCAGGCGGATCACCTGAGGTCGGGAGTTCAAGACCAGTCTGACCAACATGGCGAAACCCCGCCTCTACTAAAAATACAAAATTAGTCAGGCATGGTGGCGCATGCCTGTAATCCCAGCTACTCGGGAGGATGAGGCAGGAGAATCGCTTGAACCCGGGAGGCCGGGGTTGCGGTGAGCCAAGATCGCACCACTGCACTCCAGCCTGGGCAACAAGAGCGAAACTCCGTCTCAAAAAAAAACAAAAAAACAAAAACAAAAAAAAAAAACGGCAGCAGCAGATGAAGAGAGTAACGTATGGATAACAGTTAACAAAATTCTAGAAGTTTGGATCAATTAGCCTCATTTCCTGGGCCCAAGAGGCTAAATGATGGACTCAAACACTGTCTGAACTAAGGCAATGGTGTATGAAGAGAAGAGGGGAGATAGCTTCTTGGGAAACTACTTCAAAACCCATTTTCTTTTTCCTATTTGTTTTCCCAAGCATCTCGCTAAGTGGTGCACCATCTAGACTGGGGCTTACTCTGGCATCTGCTGTGCTATGCCCACAAGGCCCCCCCACCTGCGACAGCCTCCTGGTTGTTCCTTTTCACTTCTGCTCTATCTAGCCCTCAGTGCTACCAACACCGCGGATGTCTCGGAGGGCACCCGTGTTCAATCACCATACCTGGACCTCTCCACAGAAGTTCCTTGCCTTAGTCAACGCCAAACCTGCCCGTCTGTTCTTCCAACACAGTAAGATTTCTCTAAGCTCTACAACACTGTTTATGCCCTCCAGTCGGTTACGAAAAGCAGTAACCCTCCTAAAAATGTCATGGGACTGTATCGTTTGGTCCAAAGAGACTCCCGAATGAGAGACCATACAGCATCGCAGCAATTTTAAGACAAACCCTCACCGCAGGGGTCGGGCATCTCTCTGGGTCAGCGGGGCTCACGTCTTAAACACACGCCCTGAGCCATCCCCAGCGTCTGTCCTAGGAGGGCCGGGCGCAGCAGAAGAATCCGCACGGTCAGGGCCGCCCACCGCTCCCGCGCGGGGCGGTCCAGCCATGGAGGAGGGGCGGGGCAGAACTGGGTCCCGAACGTCAGAAGGAGGAAGTGTGGTACCTCAGTGGGAACTGCGGATGACTCGGGGCAGAAGTCGGGAAGCGGGTTCAGATAAGGATGCAGGTGCTAGCACCGGGCTATCGGGGAGAAGAATGGCCTGCGAGCCCCTGGGTGTGGGACAGGTTGAGGAACACCGGCGGAAGCCCCTCCTGGCCTCACCGGACCCTGCGACGGGGCCTGAGGTGATGGGCGCGCAGGGGGCGTCACGCGCTGGCAGACGACGGAGATACGCGGCGGATGGGGGGGAAGACGGAAGGCAAGCTCACCTTCTTAACAGCTGGCTGGAAGTGGAAGTCACCAGCCTCCTTCAGATCCAGCCAGATCATAGGCATGCGGGGCACGGCCTCCATGGCGGCTGGCGCCCGACGGCCACCCGGCCACTCCCGTAGCTGCTGCAGCTGCTGGCTCAGCCGCGAGCCCAGCCCCGCCCCTTCGCGCCGGAAGTCACTGGTCACGGGAGGGAATGAAAAATACCACCTGCCTGCCGGGAGTTGCAGTTTCCATCCCCGCCCGCGTGGTCTTTTGCGCAGGCGCAGTCCCTGTTGCGCATGCTCAGTCTTCTTCGCGCGGAGGGAGTAGGGCGGGGAGGAGCGCACCACCCCGAGGCGAAAGGGTTTCTGGGTTAATAGTCTTCCTCTGCTAAACTGAGAGGCGCGGAGCGACCTTATTACCCGCTCCCGGGCCAAGCCCGCATGCCGGCCCCTCCCGCCGCGCTCCTCCCTCCTAGGAAGAGCGTGAGAACTCACCTATGAACTTGCCCTCCCAAGTATTGTCAAGGGCCGTGGAGGACTGGTGCTGTGGTAGAGATGACGTGGCGGGCGGGCCGCTGGGAAGAGATGACGCGAAAACTGGCTTAAGAGAGGGTGCGGAGGGGGCACCTGGCCTGAAGGAGTCGGTGCTGAGAGCAGGGGGTTTCATTCGCAGGGCTGCGAAGGCTTTCGAGCTTTGGAACAGAAGACTGACCAGAGACTGGCCTACTTAGCCCAGCCTGGGAGGCCGGGCAGTGCCCAAGGGAGACGGACGATAGGGAGGGAGCGCCTGGATGGAGCGTCTCAAGCGGAGCGAGGAGGCCCCTGGCCCTGTAGGAAAGTGGGTGGGGGAAGGTATCCGGCCAGGTGAGCTCCCAGGGAGGCCCACAATATCTGGAAGAAGACCACGGAATGGAGAGCACCTGTTGCCTCTGTAGAGAGGACCTGTAGAGCAGGAATTGTTAAATCGTATGGCTGTATCACCTACTTTTAGAAATAAATAATAGGCTACTCGGGAGGCTGAGGCTGGAGGTTCAATCGCTTGAACCCGGGAGGCGGAGGTTGCGGTGATCCTAGATCGCGCCACTGCTCTCCAGTCTCGGCGACAGAGCGAGACTCCGTCTCAAAATAATAGTAACAATAGAAATAAGTAACAGAGAATGGCCTGGAGATAGTGAGTGCAAAAGTGGGAGCTGGGAGACCAGTGAGTCTTTTTTTTTCCAGGAGACAGGTGATTGTAGCAAAGCAGAGGGAAATAAAAAGTGGGCAAAGAAATATTTTGCCCACTTTGAGAAATATTTGAGGAATATTTTGGAGACAGAAGTATCAGAACTTGGAATGGATGGATGTAAGGGAATGAGGACGTCGAATATTATTTCCAAGCTTCTGACTTGTGCTGCTGGGTGGCTGTGGGACTGTTTACTGATAAGGGAAAACGGGAAGAGCAAAGGTTCAGGTCTGTGTTAAGCTCGAGGTCAAGGCCTTTGACTGGTTCTGGATGAAATGTGGAGACCACCATGTTTGGCGCGGTGGCTCACACTTGTAATCCCATCACTTTGGGAGGCCGAGGTGGGCGGATCGCTTAAGCCCAGGAGTTCAAGACCAGCCTGGCCCACATGGCCAAACCCCGTCTCTACAAAAAATACAAAAATTAGCAGGACGTGGTGGCTCATGTACACCTGTAGTCCCAGCTACTCAGGAGGCCGAGGCGGGAGGATCACTTGAGCCCGGGAGGCAGAGGTTGCAGTGAGCCATGATTGTGCCATTGCACTCCAGCCTGGGCGACAAAAGTGAAACCATGTGTAAAAAAAAAAAAATTGTGGAGACCGTGGGATGTGGGATCTGGGATTCTAAGACAGGCCTCACCCACAAGGTAGAGCCCAGGTCCCTTTGTTATGAGACCTTAAACCCTTTCAGGACTTAGTCAAGGGCCTAGCTTTATTCCAGTTGGAGTTAGAGCAGAAGAAAATGAAATTACATGAATGTTCATAGCAGTATTTCACAGTAGCCAAAAGGGAGAAGCAACCCATGCATTGATGGATGGATGCATGAATAAAGATGTTGTATGTACATACAATGGAATATTATTCAGCCTTAAAGAAAGAATGAAAAAAAAGACAAAAACATGAACATAAAAAAAAAAAAAAAGAAATTCTGTTACATGCTGCAGCATGAATGAACCCTGAAGACATTATGCTAAGTGAAATAAGCCAGTTGCAAAAGGACAAATACTGTATTAGGCTTATTTGAGATACCTAGTTAGTCAGATTTATGGAGAAAGAAAGTAGAATGGTGTTTGTCGGGCTGGGGGAGGGGAGAATGGAGAGTTACTCTTTAATGGCTGTACAACAATCTGAACATATTAATGCCACTGAACTGTACGCTTGAAATTGTAAACTTTGTGGCCAGGCACAGTAGCTCACACCTGTAATTCCAGCAATTTGGGAAGCCGAGGTGAGTGGATCGCCTGATTTGGGAGTTCAAGACCAGCCTGACCAACATGGAGAAACCCTGTCTCTACTAAAAATGCAAAATTAGCCGGGCATGGTGGCCCATGCCTATAATGCCAGCTACTCGGCAGGCTGAGTCAGGAGAATCGCTTGAACCTGGGAAGCAGAGGTTATGGTGAGCCAAGATTTGCGCCATTGCACTCCAGCCTGGGCAACAAGAGTGAAACTCCATCTCAAAAAAAAAAAAAAAAATTGTAAACTTTGTTAGGTGTATTTTACCACAATTTAAATATATATATATATATATATATATATATATATATATATATGACCTTGCAAATAATTTATTTAAAGAGAAAGAAAAATTTTCCAGTTCTTCTAGCATCCTAGAAGGGTTTGTTTCTGGAAGATATATATATATATTTTTTTTTGAGACATAGAGTCTCGCTCTGTTTGCCCAGACCAGAGTGCTAATGGTGTGATGTCAGCTCACTGCAGCCTTGGCCTCCTGAGCTCACTCAGTTCTCCAACCTCAGCCTCCCTAGTAGCTGGAGTACAGGTGTGTGCCACCAGGCCTGGCTAATTTTTTCTTGTATTTTTTGTAGAGATGGGTTTTTGCCATGTTGCCCAGGCTAGTCTTGAACTCCTAGGCTCAAGCAATCTGCCTGCCTCAACCTCCCAAAGTCCTGGGATTACAGACATGAGCCACTGCGCCCAGCCTGGAAGACCATCTTGAGGTCACCTGGTCAGAGGTAGAGAAATTTCGGGCAAAGCCGGGCATGGTGGCTCACACCTGTAATCCCAGCACTTTTGGAGGCCAAGGTGGGCAGATCACTTGAGGTCAGGAGTTCAAGACCAACCTGGTTAATATAGTGAAACCCCATCTCTACTAAAAATACAAAAATTAGCTCAGTATGGTGGCGTGTGGCTGTAGTCCCAGCTACTAGGGAGGCTGAGGCAAGACAATCACTTGAACTTGGGAGGTGGAGGTTGCAGTGAGCCAAGATTGCACCACTGCACTCCAGCCTGGGCGACAGAGCAAGACTGTCTCAAAACAAACACAAGAAAGAAATTACGGGAAGGCCCACACCCTGCAAAACTGCCCAAACACAATTTGTAGTAAGTGAAATACAAAAATATGAAGCAGCCTACCTTGGGGCTTTCTGATGGTGAGGCACTGGTCAGCCATAAGGGAGCTGCAAGACCTAGGCACAACAGCTGAGTCCAGAGCAGGCTGGGAATTGGGAGACTACATCATAGCATTACTGAGCAAAGAAGGAGGCGGCCGCTTGGCCACAGGACACAGGCAGCCCGGGACCCAAACTTGAGGCCAGCAAGGGGTCAGGATTAAGCTGTTGCAGTTCATTATGGGCTGGAACAGGAAGTGAGAGAGGAAGGGGAGAAGTAGGAAGCCCTAAATTGGGCCTTGCAAGATGGAGAAGACCTATAGAGATGGGCATTCCAGGTAGGTGGAATTGCAGAGGCAAGAGGGAGCTCTGGCTAGGCTCCAGGATTCAGGAGAGCTGGGCAGATGGGTTCCTTCCTCATGAGCTTCCTAGAGTGATAGCTTTGGCCCTACTGTCTTTCCTTCGCCTGGCCTCCACTCCCAAGGTGGAATGGGAACAACTTGTCCCCACATGGTGCTTCTGGAGTTGAACTACAACAAATGAAATAAATTATTCTGGCCGGGCGTGGTGGCTCAAGCCTGTAATCCCAGCACTTTGGGAGGCCAAGACGGGCGGATCACAAGGTCAGGAGATCGAGACCATCCTGGCTAACCCGGTGAAACCCCGTCTCTACTAAAAAATACAAAAAACTAGCCGGGCGAAGTGGTGGGCGCCTGTACTCCCAGCTACTCTCGAGACTGAGGCAGGAGAATGGCGTAAACCCGGAAGGCGGAGCTTGCAGTGAGCTGAGATCTGGCCACTGCACTCCAGCCTGGGCGACAGAGCGAGACTCCGTCTCAACAAAAAAAATAAATAAATTTTAAAAAAATAAATTATTCTGTGAGTTCAAGGGTGTATTCATTTGCTAGAATGGCCATAGGAAAGTACCACATACTGAGTGGGTTAAGCAGAAATGTGTTTTCTCACAGTTCTAGAGGCTAGAGGTCTGAGATAAGGTATTAGCAGAGTTGGTTTCTTCTGAGGCCTCTCTCCTTGGCTTGTTAATGGCCATCTTATCCCTGAGCCTGGTGACCCTGCCTTTAAATTCAGTCACATTCTGAGGTACTGGAGGTTAGGACTTCAAACATGAAATGGGGAGTAATGGAGGGGGCACATTTAGCCCATAACACAGGGTCACAGTGACATGAAAGGCGATTGGTGTGAAAGGCATCAAAGACCAAGAGGACCTTCACAGGCCTCGAATGCTGAGGGTGGGGATGGGTTGGTGGAGGTGAGACAGCAGAAAGAATGACTCCGGGGCAGGGGATGCCCTCCTAACATGTATTTCCCAGCAGAGTTGGAAGTTAGAAGTCTAAGACTTGATGGTACTGGGGAAGAGTCCGCCTTGTCACGAGGGGGCAG